GGAGCCCCAGACCCAACTTTGGAGGCCCCTGAGCCCACCCTGCACTCACGGATCCGCTCACAGACCCTGGGACCCTAGATCTAGCCTTAGTGCCCTCCAAAACCACCCCCTCCCCAGCTCTCTTTCCGAAGAGCACCAAGAGTCCCCAGCCCCAAACTCCTGGGCCAGGATACCCAGCTCCTGAACTTGGAGTGCAGCCCCCGCCCCCAACCCCTCTCAGGCTTCTAGAACCCTCCACACCCTGGATCTCTGAGTCCTGGCACCCCCTGGTGATCAGTTTTGATTCTGTTGCAGGTGCTACTGATGCCCTGGAGGGGCCTCATCTCCACCCCCCAACAGCCTGCTGAGCCCCTCCCCCAGCCCTGTCCCTGGGGTCTGCTCCAGGCCCCAAGACCCAGGAGGAGGGAGCTTCCTGCCCACTCCCCACCCTGCCTTCCCTGCAATACAGCCCTTGTGAAGTTGTCCCTGTCTGCCATCTGCTTGTGCCTGGGACCCAAGCCCACCCAGAACCCTGGCGGGATGGGGGAGACGGCAGGGTGGTCAGGCCTGGGTCAGCCCCTACCTGGGACAATGCTGGGGATGGGGACACACCCATGGATCCTGACGTGGATTTAGGTGTGCACAAAGACACACACCCGCAGGACATGTGTGTGACACACAGTGCTACCAATGGCTGATGGTCAAACATTGAAATGCTCCCCATACTTTTGGGCAGAGAGCCCTTCCCTGAATATCCCCAGCTGTCCTGGCTTCCAGGGACCTCAGGACACCCTCAGGAATCATGTGTGGGACCATAGGAGGCCTTCAAGGACTGGTCCCAGGGTCTGTGTGGGATCTGGCCAGAGCTCAGGACTTAAGGGTCGTTAAATACTTTCATTCCCCTTCCCCCAACACATGAGGACACTTTAGCTCAAATTTGCATATTTCTGCAAATTCAAATTTGCATTCTGTCCCCCCACCCCCAGGGAGGAGAGCCCTTGATGGATACCTGGGTTTGGGAGTTCTGGAGGAAGAAGAGAAGAAAAATGAGAAGTCTCAGGGGGAGGAGGTATGGGGTCAGCTCGGGGGGCAGGGGATGACAACTCGGGGTTGCAGGGAGGAGGGGAATTTGGGGAGACTCTAAGAGTTAAGAGATATGGGAGAAGAGGTAAGTAGAGATGCTAAGAGGCCATAAGTTGGAGACATGTGAAGAGATCAGAGGTCAAGGGAGGTGCAAAAGTTTGGGGGGTTGTGAGGTGCCAGAGAAGCAAGGATTAGGGGATGTGTGAGTGGGATATGAACTGAGTGGTGTTCTAAGGAGCAAATGGCAGGGAACTACTCAGCACCCTTGGGCACGTGTATGTATTCATTCAATCAACAAACATTTATTGAGCACTTACTATCTGTCAAACACTGACTCAAGAATAAGTGGCCTCTGCCCTCAGAGAACTCGGAGAGTGCAGGGGAAATGCCAAACAGTCAGACACTCAAGGATGTGGGAAGGTGTCAAATGTGGGTATGTGGGGAGAAGCCAAGGGCCAGGCAGGAGTGAGGGGCCTAGGAGGTGGTAAGTGGTTAAGAGAAGCTGAGGGGTCATGAAGGCATTAAGCAGCAGGGAGGTGCTAAGGGAACATGGTGGAGCTAAAGGGCCTAGGAGGTGCTAAGGGTTAGGGATTTCTAAGGATCAGGGAGGTGCTATGGGGTCAGAGATATGCTAAGAGGTCAGAAGTGATCAGGGAACAAGGAGGTGCTAAGGGGTCAGGGAGGGGCTAAGGACAGAGATGCTAAGGGGCCATGGATGTGCTAAGGGTCAGGGAGGTGCTAAGGGGTCAGGGATGTGCTAAGGACCAGGGAAGTGCTAAGGGTCATGGAGGTGCTAAGAGTCAGGGAGGTGCTAAGGACAGAGATGCTAAGGGGTCAGGGATGTGCTAAGGGTCAGTGAGGTGCTAAGGGCCGGGGAAATGCTAAGGGCCAGTG